TGCCAGCACACATTTTCAACCTCACGCTCTCAGGTTCTCTCCTCCTCATGGCGCTTTAAAGGGTTTGGAAGAAGTCTTGTTTTTTTGTCTATCTTTGCAACCCTTTTTTTTTTGGTCAAAAGTTTTGGCGTTTTTAGCAGTGCTTGGGTCTCCTCTTTTAAAATATTGAGTGGAAAAACACTGAACTCGGAATCATGGCGCTTGATAAAAGTGTACTCTAACACCCCGCCTTACCAGAATGCTCTTCCTCGTTTCCCCTAGCCTTTGATTCGACAAGCTAAAACTGTACAATTGTAAGTATAATAAAAGTATAATCGATGCTAACTAGTATTTACTCACGTTCATACTCGTTGGTGAGCATGCGCCGGATATATTCCGTAAGTTTCGAACACCGGGAGCAGAGGGTATGCCATCAGTGCTCAAAAGTTTACAGTTTTCCTTTTCTGCCCCGTTAAAAATGAATTTGTCGCAGTGTGGAAGGCGGATACACTCGTCCAAGCACTGAATTCCTGTCCATACTGAACGCGTTGAGATCTCAATTCCTGTGCAATTTTGGGGTTCGATGTATTCATCCGAACGTTCGCAATCGCCTTCCACACCTGAAATAGACGAGAAAAAGCAGAACAAAGGCAGAGTTTTAATATTTTTAAATCAGCTTCTAAAGTTGTTCTGCCTTCGCGTCAGCCTTCTCTCATTTACTATGTAACTTCCACCAAAGAGCAGTTTTCAACGAGCACCGAAAGTAATCCGAGAATTTTATCTGTTTCCTCCACTTCTAGCTCTATGATTGGACCAGAGAACTTGCACCATCCTCCCGACAAAAAATTTAAACCAATCGTGTATTGATCCCATGCGTTTTCCCGCGTTTCAGGCACTTTGTTCATCCGGGTTACTCGTGTTTTATAATGCCCTCGGTATTACTTCAATTGATTCATTTCTCATTACCGGCTCCCGAGTGGTGTGTTAACGTTTGGTCTGATTAGCCATCGAAATTACTATGCTCTATTTGGTTCGGACAACTTGAATGGTTGAAAAGCGGCTTGTAGTTCTTATCAGTGTTGTACCCAGACCTTCCACAGCTGAGCGGTGGTAAAATACTACATTTCAGTAGCGGTTACTCAGTAGGATCTGGGTTCGAGAGTTAAGCTCTAATATGACTCACCATGATCAATACACGTTATGTAAATGGTGCAGACGAAGGCAGCTACAAAGAAATGACATTTATCATGACCTAGAAGCAGCAAATTAAACACAGCTCAAATTAAAGAGTTATCAAAAATGGTTGCGAATGAAATAAATACAGTATTAAATGAATCTATTCCACCCTTTATACGAAAACACCCTTTAATCCCTGAGAGAAACTACCGTCCAATTTCTCCTTACAGCGTCGCTGCTGAATCACACATTAAGGTCAGGAGAATAAAGGAACTGATCACCAACTAAAGAAGCTCTTGATTGTTAGACAAATTCTCCTTGTCAGCACCTTGCAAAATGTATAGAGAACAGTATGGAGAATATGCATATTCACGTTAGGGTGTTTAGGGCCTCTCTTCTGGATCACACTTGCCCTCGTACAACCTGTGAGCAGTTCAAATGTCAAGGAAAAATGAAATGCAATTGCAAAAAGTAAATCAGCTTTCACCTTCTTTTTATACGGCGCAATCATATGAACTGGTCTACACTTGACATCGCTGTAGGGTAGTTCGTCGAAATGGTTAATTAACCATAACATTACCATTAACCGTAAATATTTAAATTGAAAGAGGTGACGGCTTTTTTACGGCTAACGGTTGATTTATCTCCATTGTGGTCACTAGACATTTTTTTAACTGTTACATTCTTTTTACGACGAACGGTTAAAATTTGTCAATTTTTACGCCCATCGGCTTAATGTTTGACCGTTTAACGGCTATCGAGTAATTCCATTTAGACCCTCTTAATTCAATGTGGTCACCTGCCAGTTTGACCCTCGGGGAGTTTTTTCGGGTAACCAGTAAATTTCTTTATTTTACATTACACTTACCATGAAAATTCTGATTGGTCGAGCATTTAGTCAATATACATAGCGCGTGAAGTTGACATGATAACCCAATATCTGCAGCAGGTATTGCCGATACTGGGTTCAAAGTCTACCTAGTCTTCAAGCCCCTTACACTTAAGATTTCTCAAACTTTTTCAAACTCAGATAGAAGGCTCTTCAGTTTTGCAGATTGTTAAAAATTGTATTATAAAACAACTATTAAATTCGGTTGTGGCATGATATCGTAAATTATCATACCTCTTATCTGTGTTATCAGCCTCAGTCTTCGGCTACAGTTGATAACTCAGACCCTGACATTGATATTTCATGATATCCTGCTTAACCTCATCTAATAATTGCGCAGTATTCCAAAATTTATATTTTTCTTCTTCATTTTATATAACATTTTAGTACAGCTAAACGTAGTTGCTTTTGCCGCTATTATTGAAGATCACTCACTGGCAACCAGTTGACATCATGTTTTCCAAAATGGCGTATCGCAGGCTCTTTAAACAAAATGGCTTGTTTTTGTTTAAATTCTTGTAGGAGAAACAACTTGCTCCGAATTGTGAATTTGTCTCTTAAGTAAGAAGCAAGATTCCAATTTTTTTGCGACGTAATCGAGATTTGTAACTGTTTTCTCTCCAGATGGCTTCTAAATCATGTTCTACTACACGCTACATATTGACTCAAAGAGGACGATCTTTGAACAAATTTAACTTAAAATTTACTCACACATGTCTGAATTTGACTTGGGCTATGCTTGAGATGGAATCCTCAATCTTCGTTGCGAAAAGTCTCCGGTGCTCAAATTTTGGTCGTCTTTAGGGGACGTCTTTAAGCCCAAAATGTACATTAACTTTGCAGCCAACTACAGTTCGCTTGTTTGTAAGTGGCTGTTTTCTCTCATTACTTCTGTACCACAAACACCTGTTATTCAGTCCTTGACTACTTTACCGTTTCCGTTTACGCAATTTTTGACACTTCCCGCTAATTGCCAGAGGGTTTAGAATGACGCTCTCACCCTGTCAGTAAATTTATGTTCTTAGAAATTTTGCAGGAAGAAACAAAGCTCTTTGAACTTAACGTCCAAAGCCGTGGTCCAATACTTCTCGCGTTAATTTTATTGTGCATATGCAATTCGTCGTTTTTATTTCTACGTCTAAAAATAAACCAATTACAAAGGTTTCATGACATTCTAAAGCTGTCAGTCATCTTAATGTGTTGGAAGTACATGCATATGCATTTCTCGATCTGATGGAAATTTATGCTGTTCTAGAAATGACACTACGTTTTGGTGTATAGAATTGAATATGCAGTAAACGCATGATCGGCACACAGAGCCTCTATTCATGTGCTTCAGTCCAATTCAAAGTCTGCTTTTTCTTTCGTATCTTTTTCATTCCCACTTTTATGTGACATGCAATATTTTTAAATTGTCGGACTTGAGATCGATTATTGCCTCTCCTTAAACAAACACGGTAAATGATTGCAAAAAGTTTTCACACCTGCCACCCCCTCGAAATTTGACTTCAGCCAACATTTTAATTAAATAAATGTGCTTGTGAACCGAAATAGGTCGTATCGATATCTCCGACTCCAAAAAAAAACCATATTGGTTTAAGATCGTTTGAGATTTGTGTTCGTTTTATTTTTGTTTTTTACCCGAGACCTTGCACACCCTTCGGCGTTTTCTTTTCCTACACCACGCAAAGTAGTAATTAAAAATTAACATTCTCGTTCAATCTAATGAAATTCATACTTCGTAAGGTTATTCTACAGAATGAATGTCATTTCAGGCTTTTTTCAGGCGAGCGGCGGGAAGCGCAGCAGGAGAGCACGTGACTCGCTCTTCGTGCCAATTTCTCCTCGCCTATCACCGCCTGTTCAGCAGTTAACTGCAAAACAGCATGGGTAAACTCGCTGTAAGACTTCAATGATGACCCACTTGCTACTCACGCCCTGGCCGTTAAATGCTCCTCTTCATTGGAGAAGGCTTCTTGTTACGATTCAACCTGGTAACGATTTTATTTCACGTTGAATATCATGCGAATAGACCTTCATTATCATTATTAGCGCAGTTTTACCCGCGGAAAGATTTGAGACGAGACGGGGAAAGGCTGCTGGGGGTCTGGCGCTCAGAGCAGACCTTGCTCTTGTTGCTTTAGGCCTCAGACTTCACCGCAGGCAAAAAAACGCTCCCGCCGAAGAGCTTACGATAATAATAATGAGAACCGGACATTGCCCGCTCAGGAGCGGAGTAAAGTATATTGATCGTGACCCCCATTTCAACACACGCAGGGTGAAAGAGCCAATTCACGTAAGACTTCGCTCTAAAAATATTAACAGGAACAGTAAATTTGAAATATCAGAAGCCTGGATGCCGACGATCAAAAACCCAATCATCAGGAGAGCCGTGTGGCAACGGACTGCAGCTGAACCTGATCCGAAAATGCACCAGTCACAGCCGTGGAATACGATCCAATCACAGCTGAGCTTTACTGATAGCATATAGATGACGCGTATTCAGTGAACCGCATCGCCTGAAAAAAGACTCGCAGCATGCAGGGGAAACGTCGCGATCCACATCATGAGACGAACGATTATATTCTTTTGAAAATAAGAACTTTCTTGCTGAATGCTTCGTTTGGTCAGCAGTCTCGGCTTTTTCGGTTACAAAAATTCAACCTGTTCTAAGCCCTTCGTTGAAAGTGCAAATATTTGGTACATCGGCAAGAATGGGAAAAAAATTTTGAAAAGCTCTCCACATCCAACTTCTACTGGTTCAAGCAGATGTATGGTGACCTCCGCGCATCACTACCTAAGCCTGCAGACTTAAACCTTTGCGGCTACCCCCAACTTGATTTATGCGTGCACTCAACACATTAGCGTATGTTACGTATCTCCCATAGTTCCCTTCGGCTTCCTCTTTAACGTGGAATTCGAACGAGGGTGAAGAACCTCGTGATACACGAAGCGGAATACTAACTGACTTGTGCAGTTATTGCCAGAAAAGGACAAAATGTTCTCCAGATTTTCTGAAACAGCAAAGAACAGTCCATTGTCGAACCCGTTCAGCGTAGCACAATGCTCATCAGAAACAACTCCGGTGACTAGGCGAAGCAGAATCATGGCGGCACCTAATACCGGTACGTTCGAAGCCGGCTTTTCTGATTTAAGATCTTGTGTGTGGTTCACGATTTCTCTTGCACTTCTTTCACTTTAGATTTTATACCATTTCTTACCTGTTTGATATACTTTGCAGAAACTGAGTAGTAACTGAGCGTGTAAATGCCTGTGTGTTTTAGGAGTTTTTAAATCACTCAGTTAGATATTAAGCTTGAGCGATCACAGCTCTCAGTGAATATATATGAAGTTCATTGATGTAGTATTTTAATATTTAACCCATTGTTCTGAATATTGTGATAATATTCTGGCCAGTCTTGGGCAACAGTCCAGTTAAAAATCAACTTCAAAATGTTCTACCAAAAAATGACGAACTTCTGCTCGTGAGTGTATGTATGTTTAAATTGAATTATATTTGTACATTACAACATTACGCAAGCAATAGGAAAGGTTACGTCCGAACAGGTTTGACGTAGTTCATCTATATGAGTTCATTTGCCAGTTATGTGATATTACGCATAGACTTTACCTTCAGCATGGCGTTTGTATGTGGCCTGGATAACTGCAAATTACGCCTTACTTTGTGCAACTTTGTGTGCGTTAAAGTTAATTTGTTAACTTACAATTTCTCCTTGCGAAATTCCAATTTGTGATTTTTTTTTTCATATATCGTCAGCGCTATTACCACCAAATTGTGATTTATTCACATGCAACCTTTTGGCCCTTTTCTATGGTATTGTTTGAATTAGGTGTAAAAACATGCAAGATGTTTCTCTGGTTGATATTAAGGGGGAACAAAACTAGACAAAAAAACTAAGAGATCGATCAATTATTGTGGAACCTTGTGTATTATTTAATACTCACCAGTTCCTACACCTGTTGTTTGAAAATATCTTCCTTACTTCCAGGTCTAATGCCAGTTGTCCAGTTTCTTTAACTGAACCAAAAAACTTGCATTATGAAACTTTAACTGACATATTTCTGATATTTTAATCAGAGGAAGCAAATATTATGAGAAAAACTGTACCTTCTCCAAACTGTAGATTTTAAAAAGTAGAATATTTCAGGGAAGGTTGTACTGGAATTCTCAGGGATGCCTTCAGAAGTTTTGAGCATCTCTATAAAAATGTTTGACTAGGTCCTCTACTAAAACCCCTGAGACTCTTCAGACAAAAACACGTTCCTTCTGATTGAGAAAATACTGCCAAGTGAAGTGTATATTTTTTCAGATCTGTTCATCTGGGCTGATTAGTTATTATCTTGGATACATTAATCCTTTACACCTGAACATCTTAATGTATATTCTTCCTGTATACCAGGGCGTAAAATTGATTTTTTTTTTCTGATAGCCACCTGACTTCTAAATTTTTCAAAGTGGTAGCCAATTCAAAAATAGTTTATAGATAAACGAAACCCTATTTTTTTACACTGTCAGCGTTCTAGATAGACCCTCCAAAATTAAGTTCTACAAAGTGGACACTAGGATGGATGATATACAACATTAAAGCTCAACTAAATCCAAGATGGCGTCTAGTCATCGATCGAGATGCATGTGCCGCATTGTGGAAACAAACTTAATGAGGAAGTTTGCCGCGGATTTATCTTTGCAAATCTTTTTAATTCACTATTTCTCTAGGTGTGGTTATCATGAAGCATTCTAGTCGTCAATTTGGCGACTACTTTTGAGGATTTGGTCGCCCTGTATACTGTTCTCTATACAGTTCTTAAGCTGCTACCAAGGATGAATTTTTTTTGATAATTAAGAGCTTCTTTAGTGGATGATCATTTCCTTTATTCTCGCAACCTTAATGCTAGATTCAGGGGTGACATTGAAAGGAGAAATCAGATGCATAAATAAGTTGTTTGTTCTCTGCTTGTTCCATCTAGGTGAGTCATACAGTTGCGAGTTTGGAAGTGCAACATACTATGCATATTGCGGATTTGGTGGCATTCTTAGTTGCGGTATCACACATACAGCTGTTGTGCCTCTTGATTTGGTCAAATGCAGAATTCAGGTAACTTTTCAGGCATTGGTTAACCCTCTAATTCCCAAGATCAGATTGTTAATTCTCCCCTCCAGCTGCTATACATTTTTCTTTAAATTAGTAATAAGAATTTGGTGTTAGATCAAGACGACAACTTCTACCTGATAAGTTTGAGTATTCTCATTACCCATTTGTTAGATAGCATATGGAGATATTAGGGAGAATTTAAATTTTAATCACTTTTGGGAGTTAAAGGGTTTAGAAGATGGGTGACTTAGCCAGGACCATGTCACATGAACAAGTTCACTCTGTACCTAAAACAATTTTAAAGTTAAACTCTTGAAATACTGTAATTTGCATGAAATTTAGTTAATTTTACCATTCTCAAGATGGCCTTACACATTGGGTTTTAGACAAATTTTAAGATTTTGTAAATGTATTAACGCATTGGATCTTTAAAGAAATGACCCCAAAAGCTTTATAGCTTCAACAATTATTGTTTGGAAAAAAGGATCTGATTGTTTGACACAAATTGAAGCACGCAGCATATAAAGCATATCCTATATTCTACTTCATTTGAATGATGAAGAATTTAGTCGAGATAATGCTCAGTGGAAACTGCAAAATGTTGGCATCTTCCTCCAGACAGAACCCGATGAAACTTGACATGTTGTGGAAGATAGAGATGTAGCATGGTGCTCAAGGCCTAATCATGTGTCTTTTGTCTTCTAAAATATATGTATTTTTATTTTTAATGTTTTTATTAGGTTGACCCAGCTAAGTATAAAAACATTGTAAATGGCTTCAAACTAACAATAAAGGAAGATGGCACTCGAGGACTGGCCAAGGGATGGGCTCCAACAGCCATTGGATATTCTATGCAGGGGCTGTGCAAGTTCGGCTTTTATGAAGTGTTTAAGATTCTCTACAGTAACATGATTGGAGAGGTATGTACAGAATTTCGATTTCTATGGGTGTTACTGTATTTCCTC